ACTTCACTCTCAGACTGTAGGCTTACTTGTTGTTCCTAGAGTTTCTAAAAGCAGAATGGGAGGAAGATCTTTCAGTTCTCAGGCTCCTCTCTTATAGAACCAACTTCCAGTTTCTGTCCGTGAGTCTGACACGTTGTCCAGTTTTAAGACTTTTCTTTTTGATAAATCCTATAGTTAGGGTTGGATTGGGTTTCCTGAGCTATCCCTTAGTTATGCTGCTATAGGCTTGACTACCGGAGGATAAATTGGTTGGCACTTTGGTTGGCCTTGTTTTAAGTGCTCTATAAATAAAATGGTATGGTATGGTAAATTGACCACATTTCCTGTCTTTGCTGCTACTTGCTCTACTCTACTTGTTTTTATTTGTAATTATTTCTATCTTTACGTGTTTTTTGTCTTTCCTCCTATAGAACGTACACCTGGACTATAGAAAGTACACCTGGACTATAGAACGTACACCTGGACTATAGAAAGTACATCTGGACCTGCCATTGTGTGTTTGTTTGCCTCTCCGTCCTGTCCTCTCAAATCCACCTGGTCGGAGCAGATGGCCGCTTGTTCTGAACCTGGCTCTGTTAGAAGTTTCTTCCTGTTAAAAGGGAGTTTTTTTCCTTCCCACTGTCGCCTTTGTGCTCGCTCAGGATGGGAGACTGAGACGAAGTGGATCAACACAATCTGCTGCTTCCTTAGACAGAGAACTTTTACTAGGCTTGTTAAAATGTATATGAATGTTTCTGTACAGTGTCCTGAGACAACTTCTGTCGTGACTTGGTGATATATAAATAAACTGAATTGAGTTGAATTTCTTGTACGAGGCAGCCATTTTAGATTTTGAGGTCCGTGTTGGTCAGGAATATCCAAATTGAGTCAAAATTCCAACTTTTGGGGGCTTATTAATTAATGTTTTCTTGTCTGGAACTTGGACATTCCTACTTCTGAGTACAAATGGAATGCAGCACATCACTTTTGCACAGTGGGTGTATACTGTAGATTAGGACATATCGCTGTATTCTCTTTCTTGCTCTTTGTGTAGGCGTCTGCACTTTACACACTTCCAAGCTCTGTCAGCAAATGGAGAGATGAACAAGTTTATTTATAATATATCGGCTTTAAAGCATTGTTCTGCTGCTGGCAGCAGTCGGTAACTTTCTGAGGAGACTGAGACTTGGCGAAGTTGGAGGGCTGCATTTGCCAACACCGACTGCCTAGTAAGCTTTAATTTCCATTGGGATTAAAGCAATTGTCAATGTTTTCTCCATGTTTAGAATTATACACAAATTCTTGTTTGTCTAAATTTTTATCGCGTGGCTGTTAAGTTGTCCGGGTCTCCAGGTCAGGGGGCAATTTTTGCCTAAGGTGGAGAAGTTTAAGTATCTTGTTTACAAGTGATGTTAGGATGGAGAGGGAGATGGATCCACGGATTGGGACCTCGTGATCAGTAACAAGAGTGTTGCTTTGGTTGATCATAGTGCAAAAAAGAGTTGAGTTAAAAGGCAAAGATCTTGATTAACTGGTCTGTCTACATTCCAACCCTCATCCATGATCATTAAGTTTGGATCGTGACCGAGATCCTGGATAATAGTGGCCGAAATGGGCTTCTTTCATAGTGTGACCGGTCTCAGCCTTAGAGACAGTTTGCGGAGCTCCATCATAAGGGGCAAGCTTGTAGTAGACCTGCTGCTTCTTTAGGAAAGGTGTTTTGGGCATATGATTAGGAGTCCTCCTGGGTGCTTCCCTTTGGCGGTCTCTGACTATGTCCCGCTAGTAAGAGGTCTCCGGGAAGTTCCAGAACTCACTGGGGGGATTATGTATCTTCTTAGGCCTGGGAATGTCTCAGGGTCTTCCAGGCAGAGTTTTACAAATGTGACTGGGGAGAGGGATGTCTGGATTTCTCTCCTGGACCATGTTACCTCCATGACCTGACTATGGATGAGCGTTAAACAATGGAGAGAGCGACGGCTGTTAAATATTGAAAACCCCTTTGTGAAACTTTTGCTCCAATATTCCAAGCAGCTTGCACAAAGAAGAACAAGAAAGATAATGTAATTGAAAGCACAAAAGAAGTGTTTAACTTTAGTAAAATCTCTGTAAGTGATGCATATCAAGTCCTGTGACTGACACATATCTCCATCTAATGACAAACAATTAATCGTTTTCCATAGCAGCAAGAAACAAAGCTGATTTTTACTGCCTCTAAATGCTTGAAAGCAAAATATAATGTAAAATGTGGGACTTCTAATTGAAGCTGTATTCCAGAGGCTGGAGATAGTCCCTTCATTCAACCTTTGATGTAAACTTCTCAAAGGTTATGCAGTCACTCCAACCAGCCGAGAATTAGTTTGAAAATGAAACTGCTTCTCATCGCAGACGACTTGGAGAAGGTCATTAACACTGACACATTGCTTCTCAATTAGGCCACTGTAACTGCAGTTCCTGCTTCATGCAAAGGTCACCTTTACCCCTGTGGCTAATCCATAGATGCTCAGACCAGCTCACACCTCCATCCAGTACAATTTTCTCAAAAGTTCATGATAAAATTTTACTGATACAAACGAGTGCAGAGCTATTTAGCCCTGGGTTACATTTCTAAAGACCTTTTTCTTGTTCTGAGCTGAAGAGTCTCGGCCTTGTTCTCAACCCTTCAATCTGTTCCACATGTTTCAGCTTTGAGGTCGGCCTCAAAGCAGCTGAATGTTTAACTCATGTGTGGTGATGCCATTTTCCAATATTGTTGTTTTTCTACTATTTAAATAGAAACCAGCTTTAACCAAAGCAAACAACAATATAAACTTCTTGAATATGAGCAATTTCAGTGCCAGACAACCTACAAATATTGATAATAATATAAATACAGATAATTTTTACTGTTTTCAAAGCAGACAGGTGATTTAAAACAGTTTTCTGATACAATAAGGACTTTTTTAATGGTGGTGGGGGTAGGAGGGAAGTCTTAATATTAAGCAGAACTTGTACTGCCATGCACAACAGTATATGATGACTTGTATGCTCCAGTTGCACTCTAGCAAGGGCCACCAGAGTGCAGGTCTATACAGTTGTTGTAGTTGAAGTTAACTTTTAAATATTTATAGATTTTTTTAAAAAAACTGTTCGAATGGGAACCTGCAGAAGGCCTTATTGCAGCAACTCAATAGAGGATGGAGAAGTGAGGACCCATATTTTTCCTATAGATCCAGCTCATCCTTCAGAATCAGAATCAGAATAAGCTTTATTATCATTGTACCGAGACACAGTGAGGTTATGCTTGTACAGTTGTCTGAAAGATGGGTGGAGTGCACGTTGCTGTTGCTATAATAGCGCGGCCCCGTTTTCTTTATCAGAATACTTTTAGATAGAAAAAGGCAATTGCCATGAGGATGGATAGTAGTATTACAAAAAATATCTCTTCAAATCTTGTCCTATCAGAACACAATTTGAGACATCAGATAACGCTACCAGCAGCACAGTTATAAACACATTACATATGCATTTGACGGCAAGATGATGCGATTTGTCCATGAACACTTTCAGATAGGCCATAATCCTGATGTTCTTGTTCAGCCGGCAGTTCTGATAAGCCTGCACAGAAGTTTTCAGGTGAGGGGGATTGCGATAGAGCTTTGTCCCTAGTTACCCATGTCCCAGGAAAAATTTGATAGTCGGCTCTTATCTGTGGCCAAATGGGGGAGTCAGATTCAGATAAGCCACAATTGTTGATTTTCTTCAGGCAGACTGTTTTTTCTTGTCAGCCTCGAGTCCTACAGGAACGTTCCTGGTCCAAAATGGCCATATATATGGGTATTTCACTCCAATGATCCATGTTATAAGCCTTCCTCAAGGTCAATTGCAACATGCTGGCAAGTCCTAGAAGCCGCAGGTGGCCTGCGATTCTTACAAATCGCCTCCATCTTATGGTTTAGCTCGTAAATCACCTGATTTTGAGCACTCGTAGCACAAACCAAACCTTCGCACTGACTCTGAAGCTTTGCCATGGCCGAAACTGCTGCCAATGTCGTCTTCAAAAGTTGATAAAACAGAGCCCCGCTGATGCCAAAAAGCAGAATCCCTGCTATCATGAATCCAAACTTGTTCACCATCCTCCTGAGACAGAACTGAGAGACACATTAGCTGCCAAACTCCCCACGGATCTCTGATGTACCCCACAGCGTGAGTCTCAGCCAGACAAGAGGGTTCTCTAGGACCCTGTCATTTTGTTTAAAAGATTTTGTCGACTGTGTTGAAAGTCCAGCTGATCAGATCCATAACAGTATTTTTCATTCGGGAGATGTGTACCAGGAGCTCCAAACACACAGAGAGCAAAAGCAGGAGGAAGAGGAGAACAGGGAGAGGGAGAGCAGATGTGTCCGTCTTGAACGAGAGCCAGAGGTGGAAAATATCCAATGTGAAGACAGCTATAAGTTGCTGCTTTGGCTGGAGGAGGGTGAAACATACAGCTTCAAAATGCACAGGAAACAAGAAATAAATAAATAAAAAGATTTCTGTTACTGTTTGAGCTCCTCTGCCGGCGGTTACAGGCACAGCCGGAATGTGTTCCCACACCAGAGCGGCTGCTTCGTCATGGAAACAAACGGAAACTGTCTGGCATCAATAAAATGTAAGAAAATAATGGACACGCTACTAATGCCCCTAAACCCCAAAGTGATTTCTTCAAATTACTCCCCTTCAATTTGGACACCAATCCCATTTAAAACTCATCAGAACTGAGGTGCTGAAACAAGAAAAGAAAATTCAACGTTTGCATGAAAAAGCAATCAGCCTTTTCTCAAAGCACTTGCCAGCTCATTGTCTGTAGACTGACTAAACATCAGTCCACAACTAAATTTCCATCTTGTTCCTCATTTTTATCTTACACGCAACTGATTCAAGCAGCTTTTCTTGGCACAAATTTGTTCTCATTCAAGTAAATGTTCATGTCTTGTGTGCTACAGAAGCTGCCCATTCTTTTCAGCAGAGTGCATGTGTATGAGTGACGCCATACTTACTATCTCCATGGCAACGGAGCGGTCCGACGGTGAGTTTGGCCTCAGAGCCCGGCCTGTTTGTGTCCCCAACAGCAACCTGGCTGACCGGCAAGTGTTCTTTATATGTCAAGAGACCAGAATCTTCTCTCCTGGAAAAATCAGACAAAGACATATATTTAAAAACCCATCGTACAAGCTGTTTGGTCTTTTCTCTTGGCTTTAATTTGTTCATCCGTTGTTTTTAAAAAATGTTTTCGTGTCTCATACTTCCTTTTTTGTTTTGCAAAAGAAAACACAACTTAAACAAATAAATGTGTTTGAGACTTTGCCAAAACATTTCATTAACATCTTGTTGGATTTGTAGCGAAGGAGATTTTACATTTGAGATGAGGCTCAAGTTGGAAAAGAACAATTATGATTAACTGTTGTGGGTTGTGTCTAAACTTTTAAAACCACAGCATCTGTTCACAGACGTTACAATTTACAGGTATGAACAAGATAAATAAAAAAAAGACTTGTTTTATGTATGTTACAAGTAAAAGCACAATTTGAATTAGGGGCATTATGAACAAGTGTACACAACATCCGTTTTGTCCACTACATCAAATAAAGTACTTGTTATTATAATATGGTGTTCCCCTTTTCATACAAGTTCATAATTTAGAACAGATATCCCAAAGTTTGGCTTGGGGTTAAATGTTTTCTGTATTTAAACATCTGACCAGATCCTAGAAGTTAAAGCTGTTTTCTGTAAAATAAAATTAATAAATTTTTGTAAGGTGTTGACACTTATTGGTTTCCAAAGTTTTTACCTTGTAATTTAAAACATTCATCATTTAAAATACGTTGAATACATTTTTAAGTTTCCTCATGTTTAAACAAAAGGTCATGTGATGCAATGAAGTAGGCGGGACTTAAACTCCTATACATTCCTAGTGCACAGACTCTGGTTCCAAAAACACAACATGGCAGCCTCCATAAAATGAGTCCTGCTGGCTTCATTTTCCATCAAAAATGGTGAGGACGCAGATAATAGAGTATTTTTGCCTAGATGTGACCATAGCAATAAAAGTGTTAATCATAATTTGATTTAAATAGTATCACAATTGTTATGGCAGTTTACTTTGTCATTATGCTCTTTGTTAAATTGGCTAACTAATTTTGTACACTTCTGCACGAATTAAGGAGTTTAAATTTAGATCCACATTTTAAATAAAAGATTAGTTGAAGAACTTGCCAAGTACATGACATTTTAATTATTATTTTTTATATTTTGGCCAAATGTTTTTTATTTGTGTGCTGCAGAATCGTATCTTGTTGTCCAATGAATTCTCCTCCATCTGGCTGAAAATAGAACGGAGGATGGTGGTGCACACCTCTGCAGTGACCCTTCTGATTCACTCAGCAGTGAAAATATCAGTAAATGTCAGCTTCCTTGTTCCATTGATGACATGCATGCTCAAACTAGTCTGTTTGTATCCTGGAGAGAATCCTCTGAGGTTCTGGCCCAGTCTCCTTTTGATCTTCACAGAGGAAACACGTATGTCTACATGCTGGAAAACATGCTTGACTTGCTGTGCAATGAAAAACACGTTTTTTACCCATCTTTTATGAGAAGGGAAGTCTACAAAAGTTGTGCTTTTTAGTTTATTAGCTTAATTTACCACCGTCTGATTTTTCTTTTCATGCCTACTTTTGTGATACCAACTCTCAAGTTGTTTTTTAGGTAGTTATTGATGTGTATATAAAGTGTTTTTTACAGATCCTCATAAAGATAACCCTCACTTGCATGGCCATCTTTCTATATTTACTACTAACAAAGAGCATTTACATGATGATATTTAAAGCATGATCTAAAAAACACAAGTCTAATTCAAATGTTAAGCATGTTTGCAAATAAGGATTTAAGCCTTTTTCCTTTAGACATGTATTATGGCAAACTGTAAATATGCTTGTTTATGTGGCGTCATGGCTCCTGCTATGTAAATAATAGCATAATGAAATCTTTAGATGCTGTTTAGATGTAGAACTTTGTTTCAGAATGTTGCCATAGTACAACAATGTGTGAATGAAAATTTGTAAAATTTTAGATAAATATTAGGAGTGTAGTGGTATGTACAAGTCACAGTTGGTGTGAGGGCCTCAGTTCAGCACACAGGAAATACAAATCCAATGCCATTTGCTTTTTCTGGAAGTAAATAACTCCCAGAAACAAAGACAGAAAAACAAATCACCATTACAAGTGAGGAGGGTCGAAGGTGGCAGGTTATTTACAGCAAGGCAGGATTTGTCCCCCTTTAATTTCACTTAAAAATAAAAAGACGCATTATGTCGGTTTTTTTTTTCATGCAACCTGAATGTAAACAATGTCTGACAGATTATTTGTCAAACAGAAATTTACATCAATGTCAAAAAGAAAACCTTTTTTTTTAATTAAGAAAATATTACATAAACAACTAACTACAACAAAAACCTTCAGTGAATTTAGACTTTTTGATGTGAAACAAGACAACACAGAACTGAATAACAGGCCCCTAATGTGGAAATTAATTAAGTAAATAAATAAAACACTTGCCAAGTATTTCAGTGGGCTAGGTGTTCATGTGAGAAAATGATGCTTGACATTAGGGAATTTTGGCTAAATAAGCAAATTGCTTGCCATACCATTGTAAAACATTTATATGATGTAACTGTTTGCCGTACTGGTATCTATTTCTGTCTGCCGCTGATGTCCATGTTTTACCACACAGTTGATTTGAAACAGACAAACAAGCAGGTATTTAAACTTCTCTGTCTTATTATTATATATATATATATATATATATATATATATGTGTATATATAAATATACATTTATACCCCTAAAACTATATACTCACTGAACAAAAATATAAATGCAACACAGTTTTTGTTCACATTTTTCATGAACTCAAAGATCTAAGACTTTTTCCGTCAAGATGCTGATTGGACAGAATGCTTATCTCACATGTGTGCCTTCGGCTGACCACAATAAAAGGCTGCTGTAAATGTGCAGTTTTATCACACAGCACAATGCCACAGATGTTGCAAGTTTTGGGGGTGAGTATAGTTTATTACCTTTTCCTGTTCCACGACAACCCTGACCGTTTTTGTGCAGCTACGTTTTAAATATTACCATTTCTTTCAACAGTTTTCAAAGTTTTTCATACGTTTTTAATAACGCTGTCCTTTGAAGTTTCCATAAAACAATTAGATTTCTTATTTTGACATTAAACTTTAGGATCTAATGCATGGCGGTTTTAGGGTTCTTGTGTATCTGAGTGTTGCTGAATGTGCTGCACAAAATCTGGATAATGACTATAAACAAATATGAAGGTCATTTTTCACAAACTCATAAGAGCACGCCATCACCACATCCCTTTAAAGAAGTCTAATATCAGAAGCTAAAACTATGAATGTGTATTTTTTGTTGAAAAACACCAGAATTACAAAAAAAAAAAAAAAAAAAATACAGCAAAAGTTGAACTCATTCTTCTGACCTGCTGTGCAAATCACTGGATGGAAACAAGTATGGAAGTTGGGCAATTGCTGCTCATAGTTTTTCCTCTAGTTATCAGATTCAACAAGCTTACATAATCACTCAAAGTGTTTTAGGAAGGTAAAACAATTTAATTTAAATTGTCGCAACAGGTTTAATTGTTCTTTTCTGTAAACCTCAAATCTACAGAAGTTTGAGATTTTTCTACAATTCTCAAAAAGAGACAAAAGTCCTAAACTTTCTAATCTAAATTTTGATCGAAGAGACATTTTAAACTCCCGGTATCCTCTCTGACCAACCTTTATATATGCAAAATTATCAAATGAACACATGACAGGAACATTTGAGAAGCAATGTCAGTGTTTTATTTCCCCTTTCTTTATAAACAATTAAAAAAATAATAGGAATTTTGGAGTTTTTTTTTAAATAGTACTAGGCATTTGTTCATGTTGGAGGTTGTAGATGAATCACCGTCATCTCTGAAATATTCTTTATCACGTGGCGTCCAGTTTCAGTTGCATACAGATCTGGACTGCAGGGAGACGAGTTCAAAACATGTACTCTATATATACCAAGCTGCTCTCTATGAAGCCACTGCTGTGCCATGATAATACCAAAGATTACCTGCTGAATACTGATGCAATGTTACAGCTCACAGCCTGCACACTTCACCACTGGGACAGAAACAAAAGGCATGCAGGAGAAGAGGATGTTGTCCTTTTTAAGTCTATAATTGGTGATCAAACACACAGTCTTCATTTTCCCACACTGTGACAGTTTGTGTGTGTTAAACGCTGTCCGTTCTCTCCCCTCTGAGAGATAATACTAGTCATTAATGCAACTCTTTAAACACCACCAGGCGCTAATGCTGGAATGGATCGTCCATATTTTACTGTAGATAAACAACATCACATTTACCTTAAGGGCGTTTGTTTTATTGCTAGAGCTTTGAATAAGGCAAACCTCACATCAGTACTTCCTAAATTAACATGCAAAGTGCTCAAATGAAACTGAATTCACACTCGGTCTTATCAATTAAATAATATACAGATATATGCATGCATACGGAGCTATGTAAATATACCTCTTAGTTTAACTTTATCAGAAATTTGGATTGAGGATGCATTTTACCAGTTTTATAAATGTTTTGCTGTCACTGATCAGAAACTGGATGAATACAGACTGTTTGAGTTTACATCAAGTTCTGCACTAATGAAAGATCCCAACACTATGGCCAACAAAGGTTGCATGACATAAACCAGCACTACTGTCTGCCAAAGTGGGTACAAAGTGAGCTGAGGCAGGTAAAATGTAGGTGGAGGTGGGTAACAAAGTAATGTGCACAGCCTAAAATACAGTATTGCAAGCGGTGCACGCAAAAATAGATCATGATTACAAAAAAAAAGACTATTCAAAACAGAATGTAATGAAACCTCAACAATAATGTGCCCTTTGAGTTTCAACAGTCTCCAGCAGTGACAACCCAGTGAAATAGTGGCTCTAGATTCTCTGCACCTACAACTCAGACTGCTCACCCCAGCATTAATACATATCTATTACCCTTTTGCAGATAATTTGGCAGTGATTAGACTAATCTCCAGAATAAATCAGTCTACCCTCAACAAGAAACAAAAACCTCCTTGGCTTTAGGAATCATGCGGCAGATCTGGGGCTTCATGTACAAAGGGTGCGTACGCACAAAAATGAGGTGTACGCCCCTTTGTCATGCAAAATTTCAGATGTATCAAGAGTGAAATGACCGTGGAAATGTGCACAGCATCTCCAAGGCCAGTACTTTTGAAACTGTGCTTGGAGCGCAACACAGTGAGGAGCCGTGCGCTGCCCGTACACATGCAGCTGCTGACTACATTGGGGTTCATAGCAGCAGGACCATTTCAGAGGGAGCTGGCAGACCGACTGGGACTGCGTCAGCCAACCCTGAACCGAGCCATGCCAGCTGTGTGATGGAATTATCCATATGTCAACTAGATTTATCAAATTCCTACAATGCAGCTGAACAGGACAACATCAAAACACAGTTTGCTGCAAAAGCCTGTTTTCTTAACGTAATCGGAGCCATCACCTGCACTGAATGAATGACTAAGTTGCATTTGAGCCCATAAAATCCGATCCGACCCGGTCCCGGCCTGTACCCATCATTTCCAAACCCCACCCGACCTGACAAATTAACAGTAATTACAGGTCAGAATCTGAAAAATAACCCAGACATTTTTAATTAAGCTTTGACTGCTTATATAGTTATTAACAGTCGGCAGACGCGCAGCTGAATAAAATGCATTCAACCTTTATTTAAACTAGTTAGTCCCATTGAGCCACGAGGACTCATTTACAAGAGAGAAAATGGGCAGAAGATCAGAGCTGACGGGTGTTTGTCCTTTCATGTCCATCAAAAAGCATTAAAACCCTGTTTCTGCCTGCATTCTGCATTATTCAAACATGGACCCTGCTCTGACATGTCTGCTTTGGGATCTCACATGTATGGGTCATCGGTCAAGTGCGTCCGCTGATTGCAGCGGCCGAATGAACGTCCATTTGAGCGATGGATCGCTGCCTGGCCGTACAGTCCCATCTGAAGCTTAACTGAACGTTTTACCTCTTTCAAATCTGGTCAAATCACGGTGAAATGGCCGTGTGCAGCTGGTGATTGTATGACAATCCATGTTGCCATATAACTGGATCGCAGATGATCCTCTGACGCAATCGGAAGCCCGACACTGACCCGGCTCGCCCATCCAAATTTGGGTCGGGTCGGGCTAGAAATGACAGCTCTAACACACATTGCTATAAAAGCACCATCACAAGATGACTACGTTTATGTTAACAGGAAGCATTTTCACTCAATGAGCAAATTATGTGATGTGCAAAAGCAACGAACCAACATTGTGGCGAGGCGTCCTTGTTCAACACACAATTCATTCAGTCTAATGAGCAGCATGGTTGGGAACAGACTACAAGCTGGCACAGTGCAGGATGGGTGCCTTCTTGGTGAGTAAATTAATTTAGTCCTAATGTCCGACCATTTTTTTATTTCTACGGGTGTGCGCTGCTCTGACCCCACAGCATTTACAGCTTTGCACACTCACTCCTCTTGCGCTTGGCACTAATGCCAGAGGACAGCGTGCCAAACAATGATTTTACGTGCCTCTACCTCTAGTTGGAAGCGTTTCCAACTCATAGTCCATGAAGTTCCTCTTTTTCCCCACATGTATAGTGCAGAGAGGAGAGTCCTCAGGTGCAGGGCATATTTAAATCTATTTGCATATTTAAATGGAGGCGTGTGGAGGGAGGAGTCGGGTATTCCCTCATGTGCACTCAGCTCCACATTGATAGGAGTATACAAAAGAAGTGTGCTTGGATTCATGCGTACGCACATCTTCATGCATCTAGATTTATTTGTGCGTACGCTGTTTTCTGGATTTAAGGAAATCTTTGTACACGAGGCCCCTGGTTCTTTTCAAAATCAAAACAGACAGCGAGGAAATGGTAAATAAAATTATTAGATTATTAGATGTAGTAGACACCATATCTACATAAAAGTTTCAGGAAAAACTACCTAAAAAGAAAGCTACCGATAAACTTTTCCACCGTTTCCACCGAGGGTGTAATGTTGCAATGCAACACTGTGTGGTACAATAGCTGCATGGAGGCAGACAGGGGGTGGCTTTAGAGAATCATTAAAGCACTGCAGAGAACCATCGACAGCTCTCTTTGCTTGCTGAAGGCCTTTAACAACTTCATTTGCCTCAGCAGGGAACAAAACATCCTGAAGAACACATCTCACCCTCGTGCTCACATGTTTGACCCGTTGCCCTCTGGCAGATGTTACACTCCATTAAAACTACAACAAACATAAGAGTCAGTGTCTTTCCCAGAGCCATGACATTACTGAACTCCAAACAGCATTGATTCCACCACCAACACACACACACTGTCACAGCAGTACTGCCAGACTCAAATAATGGAAATCATCTCGGAGCCCAAATACATCCTATTGAAAACAAAAAGCAAAATGTGGTTTAGTCAAAATATAACTAAATAACAGTAAAATGCTGGTGTTTATAAATGGACATCGCAATTAAATTCTTTATGCGTTTTATGCTTTTTCCAAAACAGATCCAATCTTTAGCCGAGCAATGCACAGTATTTGACAGGCTCAGTGTATTTTGCTAACAAAAACTCCAAATGGACTTTGTTAAAGAGTACAACATTTACAATAGATGAAACACGAAGAACTCATTTTTATAGTTTGTTCCTTTAAGCTTGCTGTGACAACTTACCATTGTTTAGCATCTGCATCACAGTTGCAGTCGTACTTGGAGTCAGTGCAGTTCCTGTCAATGCCGCAGGCACACTTCTGGATGCCGGGTCCCGAGCCGCCCCAGTAGAAATGCTTCTCGCTGGCTCGACCAACCCACCATGTGTAGGGGGTCCCATCTGAAGGCCAAACACAGACATACACAAACATGTCAGTGCATTTAAACAAAACGCCTCCATTCACTCTCAATGTGCACAACTTTTCCTGAAATACCAAAACGTTGTTTAACTAAACTGATTAAACTCAGTCTTACCACAGGTGCACGTTGGTTGTGTGTGCTTTTGTGTGAATGTTTTAATGAGTGGATAAAAGGTGAGGAACTACTGCCCTTCAATAAGAAATGTAATATTGTTTTCTTTGCCTTGAATAATGCATTCTGGCAGGGGATGGTAACTACGCAGGGAGATAAGAGTAAACATATTGGTTGCTGGCAATATATCACAGCCAGAGAGAGATGGGGACAATATTGCATTTTCCGCTTTATTCCTATAAATAAACGGCATTGTCAATATCAATTTGTCTATTTCATAAAAGCCAATGAAATCTCGTGAGCGGCTTTGAAAAAACAGAAACAGATTTTTGAAGCAGCACAATTGCTTTGAGAGGTTTGATATATTGTATTATCACACGGTGAAAGGCCAACCTGCAGGAGGAAGCTACAGACAAGTCTGGGTGTTTAGACTGCACGTTGTGAGTGTTAGCTTTTGTGTATTTGATCACCGTGACCTGTGACGGTCCTCATAAAGAGAATTAACGTAATTTCTCTTCAGACCACAGTTCAGACAACCCTTCATCAGTAAGCCCAACAGTACCACCTCACGAGACGTCACAGTGCTCTCCCTTTATGTGGACTTGCTTGTCTCGTTGTCAGTGGTGATTTCAGCCTCTTTTTTGGGGGGGTTCAAGCACCTCTAAGTTTTAACTCAACACCCATGAATTGGACGGAAACTCAGTTCTCAAACCTCAGATTCACCAAAATATTGAACAAATTTGGAATAAAAATGGAATAAATGATGACACTCTTAAACAAGCCAGTAAAATCTATGATTATGTTGCACGAGTCGGATCCTCGACACGACCTGTCAATCAACCCAGTGGGCTCGTCAGCAACTGACCAATCAGCGACCTCAATTTGTCCCGAAGTGAAACCTTACCTGCAGGAGCTCCACCCCTTTTTTTTCCTGACAACATTTTTTTTTAACCTTTATTAATCCCATTGAGATTAAAAATCTTTTTTGCAAGAGAATCCCGGCCAAAACTGGCAACAGCACCTAGAGGTTACAAAACATTCACAACAAATTCAAAGATTCCTCAGTTAAAATATTTACAGACACATGATTCCTTCTCCAAATCAGTAAGAACAGCCTTAAAAACATTGTCGGGGTTTGCATTACGAATGCTTTGTGGTCAGAGGGATTTCGTGAAAAATCATCAGAAAAACATGGTTAAACTTTGTCAGTGGAGAACATGTAATTCAGAGAGTTACCCCCGAGTGTTTCAAGGATGGAATACAGTTTATTCAATGTCCAAAATCTAAACGGAGTCTGTAAAAATGTAACAGATGATAAAGTTCTGCGACCGACCTCATGATCAGCTGATTACAACAGTGATAAACATGAAGTACCACATGTTCATCTGTACGAAGGTAACTGCAGCTAAATCCTCCATTTTCTGTCACAACTACAGTAATAGTGAAATTAAAGGTTAAGGCTTAAAGCTAGCTGTGCTTTGTTTTGTGTGTTTTATATTTAGATAAATGTTCTGGTTTAGTCTTTGTTTGCTATGATCAGTTAACACAAAACTGATTTTGTACAAAGTGTTTATTAAGTTGCGTAATGTAAAGCGAAGCGCTACGTCTGTAGCATCTTAGCTAGCGCGTCTGTATTGTGTGCTGCTAGCTTAGCGCCACTTCTTGTTGCTCTCTAAAATAGTTATTGAATTAAGCGTTTACTTATGTAGATTAACATAATATTTAATAAGCTGTTAAAATACACCAGAAAGTTGCCAATGGCCACTGCATTGATCAAGCCAAGAACCACTGTCAGCACTGGGGGCACGGGCACCCCCTGAAAGGCCAGATTCTAGAATCGCCCCTGGTTGTTCCCATAAAGTAGTTTGTCCAGAAAAACTGATTCTTGTTTTAAAATGAACAGGAAAGAAAAAGAAATGTCCTCTTGAAGTTTGAGTCAATCTTTAAAGGCAGAAACGGATTAAAACATTAAAGCTACACACAAAAATAACATTAAATCTACATGAAAATGTGGAAAGGTTTTCCATATGCTGTTACATTAAACTAAAACGTAAAATGGGACAGAGTGATGGTTCAAGATGTTGCGTATTACCTGGGCTGTAGGTTGCATCAGAATGGAAACGCTGCAGCCAAAAATGTAAAGAGGCAGCTGCATGAAAAAGTGGGGTGATATTTCTGCTTTAAGTTAAACTTCACAGACTTGACCAGGTTCCTGTCTGATCGGAGCTGAAAAGGCGCATTGGGTCTGGTCCAGTCGACCCATCGTCCCACGACTTCCCTAACTTCCCTCTCCCTACTGTTGAGTCAAAAGTGACCTGTATTGATCTAAAAGTGCCTTTAAGAAAGAGTGGATGTTGAGGAGGTGGGATGTGGCCCTCTGCTCAGCTGCACAGGTCGATCAATGCAGCGCATGGACTTCTGCCAGGAGTCACTGACTGGCACAGCTGTGGGGGCATCACCAATCAGTCTGCTTTTCTCATTATACACCGGTGTGCTGAGGATGGAGACAAAGAAACACCAACAGAGGCTGCCATATGGTGGCCACCTTCACTGAACTGCTCTAATTTCAAGTGCAGCGCCAGTTCCTCACAGAAACTGGGAGCAGGCTGCGTGCTGCCGCGTTGATCAATTGCGTGTTGCTGCCAAATAAATGTGTGTAAAAATGCCAAGCTTCTTCTGTTTGTCTGCAGGGAGGAAATCAATGGTAACAAAGGGTTTTCTGCTCCGCTCGGTTCACACTTGGCCCACACATTGTGTTGGGGGGGGGGGGGGTGCTGGGTAAGATATAAAACTTGAACAAATCAAAGTGGGAAGAATTCGAACAGATTTGCTTTTTAATTTTACTGTTACTGCTGTCAAAACAAGAGCGCACGTCACCATTTCCATATTTTTATTTTTTTTTCTGGAGTGGGAGAAAAAGATGAGAAGAGATGGGAGGAGAGAAACCTCAGGAGTAACAACGGGGCATCAGGTGGAATGGGAGCCGCACGAGTTTGCCAGCTTACGTCTCCTGTGCGATTTGGTTTGTTTTGCCAAATCAAACAACTCAGGAGTGGAGAAATGAAAAGGAAGAAAGGATGAGAGCAGAGCAGCATGGCTGAATGAGGGAATCACATATGGAGACCACCAAGGAGCCGGAGAGTCCAAAACGATGCTGAGCAGCATCTTTTGTGCTTTCTTTAATACTTGGGTTAGTTAACTGCTGAAAGGCGAAGGTGGACGAAAATGTTTTTGCTTGTTTCTCTGTGCGTCTGTTATAAAAAAAACATCTCATAACCCACAGAACAATTTTTAATGAAACTCTGATGGTCATCAACATCTGAAAACTTTCAGAGTCAACTCCAGTCCACATGACTGCCACAATCAAATTGATTTAAAATAACTCAAATGGCTTTAACTCAGTCACGTGTGCAGACATTGACCACAAATTTGAGACTTATTCCTAACACATATTTTGAGAGCTAAGAAATTGTGCAACTGTTACCATCAACTATTTAGAGTCAGTTTAGTCTGTATGTTTAATACATATTTATTATTAATCTTTATTTAACCAGAGAAATCCTGTTGAGATCACAGATCGCTTTTGTAAGGGAGGTCTGACGGCAGCCCAACACGCATGTTTTTAGACTGTGGGAAGTAAAAAACGAGTTTCATGAGGAGAACATGTAAACTCCACACAGAGAGACCCCAGGTCCAAACCAGGGTTTGAACCCAGGACCTTCTTGCTGTGAAGCAACAGTGCTAACCATTAATCCACCGTGCTGGCCCTAATTTGAAATAAACGTTTCAGTAAGACAGTTCATTTCATGAACTACTGGAAGAATTATTTACTTCTACAAATGATTTACCCACGGAGCCACAAAAATTAAAGATGGCCGCCACAGCCATTTGGCTTTAGAAAACACACACAATAAACTGCTATACAGTAATTCTGTCAGCTTTACAGATACGGGGCTAATATTTGGAGTGGTAGTAGCTGAGAGTCATTACAACACACGCACTGAGTGTTGCATCTCGCTGACTGTGCGTTTTAGTATGTTCAAGGTTTGACCTAAACAAACTACAACTTTTTCCAAGATTAGAAGGTCTTGAAAGGCACAGGTGATGTACGTTCCTGTAATGATCGGCCTTCAATCAAATTAATAGATTGATAGTTGTGGGACAGAAGTTCAATTCAGTTCAGTTTATTTCTAAAGCTCCAAATCACAACAGAGTCATCCCAGGAGACTGAACAGAAACAGTCATACATAAAAATAATAATTTAACATTTATCTGAGGAGCAGCTTTGAGTTTAACTCCATCACAGAACTTGAGCAAGCATGAAGGCGACAGTGGAAAGGAAAAACTCCCTCATGAGGAAGAAACCTTTAGCAGAACCAGGACAAGCGGCCATCTGCTTCAACCGGCTGGGTTTGGGAGGAACAGATACACAATGGCAGGTCAAGAATCACATGTTAAGATAGAAATAGTATAAAATGAAAACTATTCAATTTTAACAATTCATTTAAGGAAATGAGGTCAGTTTGTCCTCTAGTAGTCTAAGCCTATAGCAGCATAAGAAGCCTAACTATAGGATTTATCAAAAAGGAAAGTCTTAAAACTGGACAATGTGTCAGCCTCACGGACAGAAACTGTTGGTTCCACAAGAGAGGAGCCTGAGAACTGAAAGATCTTCCTCCCATTCTGCTCTTGGAAACTCTAGGAACCACAAGTAAACCTGCAGTCTGAGAGCGAAATCATAGGTTTGGATGCAGGAGTGTGAAAACCACACGTCCCCTTTGGAGTACGGTTACATTGGTAGATTCCTTGAGCTCCATCTGATGCAACACAACAAGACATCAGACAAATGGGCTGCAACTTGGCACAAAA